TCGGAAGAGGTAGACAAGAAACGTCCACTTAGTGAAATTCTACGCGGTGCAATTCGACTTGGTGGACACGCATTATAAATTCGTAATAGGAAAAAGTGAGAGAAAGAGAGAGAGAGAGAGAATTTATTACGAGTGCGCTGGTATTAGTGGCCTCTTCGATTAACTTTGATTCCTCATTTTTTCTCCAAGATGACATCACCTTTCTTCGCGAGTCGCCGGAGTTAATCATGGACACATCTAACACGCGAACGACGCAAACGGCATTGTGCACCGTAACCGAGAACGCCGAGCGAATCCTTATCCTGCGTGCGTCGAAAAGTCGCGTTCACAATCCACGAAACGCACTTTCCGTTGTGCGTTTTTCCGCGTGTTCGCGCGCAGATTCATCTCGCTGCAACGAGATTATTCAGGAAGAAATCGAGCACGCGATTCCCGTGTCGCGAGGTCTTTCGGACACCGTTTCCGGCGCAACGTTTTCCACTTGCAGATCGAAAGTCGCTACGAGTACGCGACGACGCGATGGCCATTGAGACAGTGCAATACCTGACTACGCGACACACTACTTCTTTTTTTTTATTCATAGTTTAATTCTTATTTAACGTTATTTACATCCTTAAGTAAGGTAGTTAGATAATCCGATCGCGTATTGAGACTCGAGCTTTGAACGACATCCACCTTTCGTTCCACTCGCGAGCTCATTTTTATTTATTTATAATCACCTCGGTCGAAGGGAGACACTTGGACAGGCTCTCGGAGAGAAATACGAGAATTTCTCATACGTGGATTTCTTAGCGACGCGATTTTACGGTACATCAAAGTTAAATGTGAGCGAATCAAGTATCACGCGATACCGCTAACCTCCGCAATAGAGATATAATACAGGATGGCGTATTCTCAAACATTTCTGCTGGAGTACCATATCAAATTTATTAATTTTCAATGAGAAATGCCTCAATAATCAACATAGGAACGTTAACTATTAATTTAATTCGAACTTTCTTAACGTTTTCTCCAACCACTTACGCAGAAAGAACAGTTTTGCTCAAATATCTAAAAATTTAGCTAGATACAGATTTGACAATAATTTTGTTGGGTCATCAAAATAATTATGTAAAATGCTCAAGTGCTGATTATTGGAATGTCAATACTTTTTACTGCATTATTATACGAATGAACGTCCTGCATAATCATTTTCAACAAAATTATTTTTCACATCTAGTTAAATTTTAAACTACTTCAGCAAAACCGTTCTTTCCGTGTTTAATTTAAAGCAATATGATAATAATAAAATCAATAGTAATTCAAAACCTTTTTAAAGAGAGAAAACCATTTGACCATAACTCGCAGTTATCGCTTTTTACGCTGTCCTATATTTCATGTATAAATGCACAGTGATCCCCGACGTCCGAGTGATACGAGAACCAGTATTCGAGATACATACTTTTGTTTTCCTACTAGGTAAGGTAAGATAATTAGCGTGCACGCAAGTGGCCTGTGTGAGGCCTGTGGCAGACCGATGGCTTTTTTTTTCGGAAAACGAACGGAGCCGACCATCGTCGACGGCAGCCGGCGGATTCGATTCCTCGAAGGCGAAGGTACAAACGTAATTCCCATTGATTTCTCCCGCCCTTTCGTCTCTCACGGGATAATTTAATTCGGTGCGACACGCGAGTGTATACGCGGACGAAAAACAGCCGCATCTTTTCCTCGCGGATCCTCGCGGATCCTCGCGAAAACGCACTATCGTGGGGCCGAGACGATTGCATGCGATTACAGGCGAGCGGGCAACGAGGCTCTTTTCCCCGTTCTCTTCCTTTTAAACGATTCGATGAGCGCATTGTATATTTAGCAGCCACTTACTTTCCGCCGTCCTCCTTGCAAGGGCCTTCCCCTTTCGCTCCGTCGAGCGAACAAAGTTGCTCGAAATCGATCGATCTCTGAAATATTCATCGCATTCCGTACGCGGAGGTCTGCGAAAACGGTAGCGAAGGAATCGCCACGCGGAGAATAGGGAAGCATCGACGGCTGATACACGCGCGCAAGACGATTTCGATCATCTTTGAATTGCCGCAAGTAGATAATCTCTTAACAATTGACCCTATAATGCGAAATCGTCATCTCCGATAGACGCGTAAAAATACTTGGCGCGTATACATCTTGGGAAAGTGTCGTTATCTCAATCCGTATCCTGCATCGCATGCGAGAAGGGTGTTGTTTTCGAAATAAATTTTGCGCCGTGCTACTTTCATGATGACTTAATTTTAATGATACTTAATTTTAAATTTCAGCCAAAATTATTTTAATTATTGGATGTTATTTTTAATTTATTAGAGGACATGAGAATCTAAAATTATTACATATGTTCCTAATTTAATATCGTACGTTTTTAGCAGCGTACGCTGGGCGTACATATTTTATTTGTCTTTAATATCATATATAGTGTGCAATGCGACGCGCAGTGCGCAATCGGTAGCGAAAAATGATTTTATTTAAAGCTGTGATGACTATACGAATTTGTTTTTATTCGAACGCGCGTTCTCCCACGAATATCGATCGCTTTTCTCTTCATTTTGAAATCGGCGCGTCTACGTCTCCAATAGTGGTGATCACGATCTCTGCGATTTCTGTGATATCTCGCGACTGCATCGGCTATTTTATTAGCGCGCAATGCACTTGTCACTTATCGTCTTACATTCCATCGCTGTCTTAGTTTTTAATCTCGGAGATATAAGATGCTCTCGTCTTTCGATTCTCGATATACGCGCGTGATTTAATTGTGATCTCTCGAGCGGCATTAAACTTACTTAATATATATATATACATATATATACGTTAACAGTCGGCCGTTCAATTCCGAGTTATTAAAAATTGTATTTGCCTTAATAAAAAACGCGCATTTTACTTTCGATCTGCGTTTGCTTTACTTAAATCTTACGAACGCGCAGCACGATACACCCTTGGGAGACATAGACGCGAACGGAAGTTTATTCAAGATATAATACTTCCGTATTTTAAGTAGAAATTTTATTCTGTTGTACAAAAATATAAATCTTTGATTATTTATTTGAAATCGAACAGAAGCGTGATTTATTTCGCACCCGTGTAAACAAAAAAAAGGTAGTATTTAAAGTATTGCGCGCATCTATCGCACGAATTAATTCGTTTCGACGGACAGAAGGATGAGAGTTTCATTCTACCAGCGATATACGAATCCCGCCGGTCTCGAGAGCGCGTAGCTTTAATTAGAATATTCGTCTGGCAAATCAATTAATATTTACGAGTGACGGTGCCGTTAATGACTGGCAACCGAGAGGGTACATTGAAATGAAAGTCCTGCCGCGATTTTGAACGAGCCTGATTAGAGTTGGCGTTTGGCAAATGGATCATAAAGTTTCCAAATACCGTATCAAAAATGCTGTCAGCGGGTTGTAAATTCCGGAATACGATTAATTAAATCCTCGCGTAACACACGGCATTGCACAACGGACGGCGGCGCGTCCGTCCGTCTATCCGCTCGTGGTATTAAAATAATGATATCGCGAATTAAACATACGACCGGCTCTCTCTCTCCATAAACTCGTAACTCTGTATTCGAGACTCGAATACAGCGACCATCTCTATCGTACGATTTGCAAGTTCTTCGTGTCTCGACATCATTCCGCATTCACATATTCGTTCATTAACTTATTCGTATTTCGCAACGTAAATTGAATCTGAACCCAAACAGAATGGAAGTCTCTAGTGTATTTTTATGCAACCGCTAACTGACAAATGAAGAGGACAACAGAAATCAGAATTATTCCAATCGATGAATTCTTACAAAACAAGTAAAATATCAAGATTTCATTTAACGCTCTCTAAAACTTTTACAATAAATCTCACTCTTAAAAAAATTGAGCCACTCTT